AGTGCCAGCTCCTTTTCATTCTTGACAACAACCGATGGCATTATTTAGTCTGCTGTGTTGCTAAAAACAGGCCCATCGATGCTCAATGACACTCAGCTTTCCAGATCCATGGGACCGTGGTTAAGCATTCTGACATCATACTCTCTCAGACGCTCTTAAGTAGCAGATGACCATTCTATCACTTCGTAAACAGGACAGAAGGAACTTCTGCTGAAGATGAGAACCGTCCATGGGAAACAGGTGAACTCCTGATACTTGCAAGATATTCTGAATGACCATCTGATACTGTAACCGAAAGGTCATACTTTGAGGACAAATGCTGACATTAGCAGAATAGTGTTCCATTAAGTGTGCACAATTTTTTTTTTATTTATTTTTTTTATTTTGTTATAACCTTGGCTCGTTGGGAAAAAAAAACTTATGTTTTAGCAAAACTCCAAAAATATGTATAACCATACAGTACAATTCACTGCAGTTTCCAGCTGAAATTAACACAAGTGGCAGTAAAACACCAACAATTTTTATTCTTTTTCACACAAAATATGCTTACAGGGCAGATTATCGATTAATAAAGATTTATGTTATAACCTCAAAATACTTTTACCATAGTGCATGATTTATAGACTAACACATTTAGACATTTGCATCAAATTATCAGCTTCATGGATTTTCTCATACAGTAAACTTTCTCGGTAGACCACCCGGTACAGCATTGTACTTTCAATATGGGGCACTTGGGTATGAATCTTGTGAAAAACAAGTTATGACACTGAATAAAACATTTCAAAAACTTGTGGAAGCCAGCTAAAATGGCACGGTTTTGTTAAAGGGGACCTGTTATGCAAAAATCACTTTTATAAGGTGTTTGAACACAGTTGTGTGGCAGCGGTGTGTGAAAACAACCAGCCTATGATGGTAAAAATCCACCCACTATTTTTTTCTATAATCCCAATTAATTATAAGTAGTGTTTCCAAACGAGCAGTTCCAGATTCTAAAAAAAGGCCCGCCCATTTGTGACAATCTCTGACCTATTAGCAGAAACACAGCCCTGAGTGAGAAGCAGCAGTCCACCATTACTGTTTTCTTGCTGTAGCTGCTGGAGATATACCATGTCAGCGCCAAAGAGGTATTACACGTGTTGTGTTTTGGGATGCACCAACGAACATAGGAGTTTAGGGCTGCCCTCGACTAAAGATTTTTCTGGTCGACCAGTAGTGGTTTATGTTAAGCGGTTAGTCGACTAATCGCACATTTATATTAATAAGCCATAAATCATAGTAATGAGCGTTTAACTGCCTATGTAGCGCACCTATAAGGTTTGCCACACAGCGCACTGGCATAAGTAATGATTATGAATGCATCAGGAAAAAAAAAGCAAGGAGACAGCCTTAACATTTTAACAATTCGTTGATAAACCAATGTTTGCTGTATTTTCGGCTGCAGTGATGAATTGACGATCTCCTCAGTGGATGCGCCTATATTAATGTTTCATACAGATCACATCACCTGAGAATAGCTGTTTTCCATCTGAATTGATTCGTTTAAAAGAAGACATTTCGCTTTCTATAGATAGGCCTATATTTCTTATGCCTGAGGCAAGTATACACGGAGTTTCGTTTTATTATTTGACGCGCTCAAGTTCGAAGACCGTGATGAGACGGCAGAACACACGAGAAGGGTCTGGCTGCAGCCTTGCACTTGCATTCTCAGACTTGCACTCTCAGACACTTGCGCTTCCACTAGCATCACTTGCATTCGACACAAATCGTGCGTGTTGCCAATGGAGACAAGTAGCTGTGGTGGTGATTAAACGATTAAAACTAATTTAATACTATAACGTACAGGGTATACAAAGTATATACAGACCAACAAATATGAATGTGCATTATGAAATGCATTAAGTGATTTTAAAAGGATCAACTCCGTACAGGCAAGCAGACGA